CAGAGGCTGTGGATTGCTTCATAGTGCGGTGCTTAACCCCTTGCTCCACCAAGGAGGAGCACCAAGGAAAGTACTTTATTTTTTTTAAAGATTTATTTATTTATGCATACAAGACCTGGGTTATAGGCCAGAGGTGTGGGGAGTGAGAGGATTCACCAGAGACAGAGTGGGGAACAGAGCAGGCAGACTGACCGAAGTAGCTTGCTGAGGGGAGCAGAGGACGAGTCCGGAGAGGTCTGCTGCACCATGTGAGCAGCTCCCTGGCTGGCCGGGATCAAACTCGCGCTGCAGAGGCTGTGGACAGCCTCATAGGTTGCATCCCAACCCCCTGCGCCACCAGGGAGGCCCAAAAAAAAATTTTCTGTACTTTTGAAAAAATAAACATTTCCTGATTAACTATAACTTTCTTTTTGATACAAGGTAGTTCAGCAGACCACTCTTTAAGGACATATTATGAATCTAAGTTTTTCCTGGTCACATCTACTCAGGTCATAGCAATGGCTTTCCATTGCAGTGGATAAACAGGGGTAATAAGAACTACTCATATAGTGTATCTAGTCTTCCTAATACGAGGGAGTTACCCTCTCCTCATCTTGTGATTACCTTTCCTCTGTCCTAAAGCCCCAGGCCACTCATTTCTTAGTTTAAGACAATACTGTTATTTTGCCTCAATGATGTTAGAATTTATAGCCATGCAGATTCCCCATACATATGTAAGTATTTTTTTTTTCTCTTTCTAAAAACAAAACAAAATAAACAAACAACACAAAAACAAAAAACACCCACTGCTGCACAGGTAATACCTGGATAACTTCACAGATTTCCCTCCTTTTTTGAAGTAATCTTTAATGTTCATAAAGTAGTATAAAAGCGCAAGAAACAAATTTTAATTGCTCTGCACCTTAAAAACTATTCAAATACCTTAAAGGATCTCTTCAGAGCCATAAACTACACTGATAAGATTAGCTTGGCAATTATTTCCTTGACTTGTTTTTCCCAAGAAAATGCTTTCTTAAACACAATGTAAAGAAAATCATTAAGAATGAAACTTTCAACTGTGTATTCCTGATTGCATTTAGTCTTTCAGAAAGTAGTTTCTTAACAGCAGCATTATGTTAGCTGTTATAATTAACTACATAAATCAAAGATACATATCAAGATAACTAAAGGAAAACAAAGTCACACAAAAAAATCTGTGGTAGTATCTACATCTGATGAAAACAGGATAAAAACAATATCCAGAAAATCCTAAGAATGCCTATGATGATGTCATATCTTATAATAATACTAGAGATTTATGACTAGTCAGATCTGGTTGTGCATATTTCCTATGTTCAACAGTTAAAAACTGATCTAAACATCTTAAGACTCCTGACATACTGAAATAGTAACTCCTTCCACTAAAAATTGTGAAAAATTCACCCAGGGATTGCAATATAAATATATATATATATATATATATATTTTTTTTTTTTTAAAAACACTAATGTATTTCCAAACAAAGCATATAAAACCCCCTTTTTTTTTTTTTTTGGTGGGACCCTCACCAGCGGCCGGGGAACGAACCGGCGCTACAGAGGCTGCGGGCAGCCTCGCAGCCCAGCGCTCAACCGCTGCGCCACCAGGGGAGGCCCAAGCACATAAAACTCTTATCTGAAAGGAAATACAGAAACGTTAAGGGTTTTGTTTAAAGGACAAAGAGCATTTCCCCTCATGGCAGTAGTAACAGTTGTTAGGTGCTACATTTATATATAAAATGTACATTTTACATATGTAGAGACTATTGGGAATAGGGTATATTTGCTTCATTTCTTTGATTCTGCATAAATTTTATCAACACCAAGTAGAAAAAAATGTAGCTTTTAAAACCCCCAATTCCATCCATACAGGAAAAATGGGAACAAAAATTAATAATTATGGATACACATTTTTTAATACAAATGTTAAAAGCAATCTTTAATATTTGTGCTTTAATATAAGAATTCAAAAAAGATTCAGTCCCCAAAAGCTGAAAGGCAGAACTTTTACACTAATAGCCACATCACAGTCATACATAAGGGTGTTCTTCCTATTCCTTTAATCTCAATTTTCCAAGGCAAAAGATGTTTAGGGAATAAAAATACATATTTGAAGGAAGTGAACTAATAAGAATATAAAAAAGAAAAACCTGAACATTTCAGGAGTTAACGAACCATGCTAAATGTAAATCAATGGGTATTCCCACCATCTCATTCTAAAGTAAGTTTATTTTAAGTAAGTTTATGCCAAAACAGACTAAAAGTGATTATTATTTTTAGTTTTCCTGTTAAGTTGCTCAACAGTAAGTTCATGGTGATTTTTTAAAGATTTGAGAAAAATAAAAAACATAAAAAAGCACCCCTCTTCCCCCAAACGAGCCCAAATTGTTTTTACAGAACTGTTAAAACATTAATACATTGCTTGGAGTATTTGCATTGCTTGATTTATAATTTTCACTTTCAGACATTAATGTTAGAGAGAATTTTATAATATTGTCAAAGTTCAAAAAAACCAGATTTGACCTATTTCCTGTGGCTATATAAGCTGATTCCACAGGATTTGTTATCTAAGAATCTGGATACATTTCTCATACCGAACCTATCCACTACCCAATGCCTCTGGTTGGAAAAGGCTGTGGCAATATAAAGCAAGTTTCTGCCTACTGTTATCTGTACCCGCTCCTTGGAGCTGATATAACATCCCTCTCATCATCGTTCACATTTATTCTGCTCATCTATACCAAGTGTCAGGTAAGTCTTTTTTCAGAGTAATTAATTTTAAAGTATTTTGAAGAGATGCACAATTAAAGATCTTAATTCCCAGGGAAAAAGTCAAAACAATCATGTAAGTAAATTGTTTATTAACAACAAGCAAGCACATTTTATCAAGACACTTGGTATGTAAAAAGAATAACATATCAGGTAGCTAATTAGCTTCTGAAAAAAGAAAAAAATCAATTAGTAGATTACATTATAATCATTATCAAATCATTCTCACCCAAGTTTGAATTTCAGTTTTTCAGTAAGGAAATCTTAGACAATTCCAGTTACTGAGTATAGTGAGTATAGTATGTCCGCATTCTAGTCTCTAAAACCTGTAAATATGACTTTATATAGCAAATGTGATTAAATTGAGGACTGAAAGAGCAGGAGTTTATCCTGGATAATGGAGGTGTGCTCTAAATATGATCATAGGAATCCTTAAGGATTTTTGAGAGACAGACACTTTCAGGGGAAGTGATGTGAACATGGAGTAGAGATGCAGCTACAAGCTAAGGAATGCCAACAGTCATCAGAAGCTGGAAGGGCCAAGAAAGATTTCCTTCTCAAAGCCTCTAAAGGAAGCATGATTCTGTCTACACCTTGATTCCAAACATTTAGTCTCCAGACTTGAACTGTGAGTGAATAAATCTCTGTTGTTTTAAGTCACCAAGGTTATAGTAATTTGTTACAGCAGTCACAGGACACAACTATATTGAGGAAAACAGTGTATTAAAAAGAGTAATCCATAAAAGAGTAAATCTGTAATCTGTAAACTTAGAAGTAAAAAAGTAACCACAAATTATAAATAAAATACAAGATAAAGATATAGTAAGCCTGATTCTTAGTGTTGAAACCCTGATGTAAATTATTCTAGAAGAACTTACACAAACACTAAAAGGTATCACTGAATGATCATAAAGGGGGGCATTTTAAGTAGAAGTATTACCTAGTCTCTAAATATCAGCTACAATAATAAAGTGCAACAGGCAAAAGACAGGAAAATAAATTAACCTTTAAAATCAGATTAAGGGTCTCCCTGGTAGCAAAAGGGGTTAAGACGCAACCTATGAAGCTCACCTAACTGCAGCCACTGCAGCACGAGTTCGATCCCCAGCCAGGGAGCAACCCACATGGTGCAGCAGACCTCTCCTGACTCGCCTGCAGCTCCTCTCAGCAGTGTATTTCAGTCAGTCTGCCTGTTCTGTTCCCCACTCTGTCTCTGGTGAATCCTCTCACCCCTCACACCTCTGGCCTATACCCCAGTTTTGTATGCATAAAAATAAAATAAATCTTAATAAATAAATAAAATCAGATAAAAAATAACAGAAATTAAAAACAAATAAAAATGCTTGAAAAATACCCACAAGTAGATGTGACTTCTGAAAGTACATATCTCTCAGTATAAAAGATCCAACTGTATGATCTACTTGAGTGGGAAGAACCACCAAGGAATTGATTAAAGGGAAGAGAGTGACATCTGGAGAATTATAAATTACACAGGTCACAATACTTGGAAGAGGACATTAGAAAAAATAAAACAATAGGCCTTTATGATCGGGTCATTCTGAGACTTAAGAAAAGAGAGATAATCAAACACCATAACCTAAGGCTCAGTATCTTCACCTTTAAAATTGGGACAATAGTCTTTACCTATCATAGTATAAACAGTGCTTTCTTCATCAGGCTAATGTGAGGATCAGAGGAGAGAGCACATAGTGCTGGCCTGTGGTTCGGGTCCCCGCTTCTCTCCATAAACTGGCTGAGTAGAAACTAACTGCACTAATTTGTCAATAAAAAAATTCCATGTAACAGTTACTAGATTTAAAAACAAAGCAAGGGGACTCCCTGGTGGTGCAAGGAGTTAAGCACAGCACTGTGAAGCTATCTGCAGCCTCTGCAGCACAAGTTCAATTCCTGGCCGGCCAGGGAGCTAACCCACATGGCACAGCAGACCTCTCCTGTCTCACCCGCTGCTCCCCTCAACAGTGTATGTAGTTCATTACATCTGCCTGTTCTGTTCCCCACTCTGTCTCTGGTGAATCCTCTCACGCCCCACCCCTGCCACACCTCTGGCCTGTACACCAGTTCTTGTATGCATAAATAAATAAATCTTTAAAAATAAATAAATAAAAACTAAGCAAAACATAAAAGTAGAAAAACACTTTAAAACAGATAGCCTTTTCTCCCTTCTGATGACATCTGGGGGGTCACAGCACTTACCACATCACTAGCACTGGAGAACTCATTATTAACCAGACTTTCAAGAGCCATCCACCGAACGGGCCTGTTTTCATTATCCCCTAGACAGTGATAGTCCATGGGGAACAAGTCTCTGGAGAGGGCATTGTCTGTGATCTTAACTTGAAGTGTGTCATCAATGCTGAAAAGTAAGATATGAACATCAAATGCAATCAGAGTATTAAGAAATATGGATCATGATAACTCTTAAATAGAAAACAATTCACTCCATGATTCTGGAGAGAACATCAAATCCAGGGACCCCAAAACATCAAAAGACAGTGACAAGCTCATGGCACCTACACACAGTTCCTAGCAGCCAGGTCTTTATGGATGACTTCCCTTCTGGCCAGATAGCTCATTCCACAGGCAATCTGGATAGCCATGTGTACCAGGTCTTGTTGAGAAATTGCCTGTGGTAACAGAAAACAACAATATTTGCAGTTAGCACAAAAATTATGACGGCAACTGCATATTTTATTCTACAATCCTACTCCATCCCAAAATACTTCTTTACATTTATACTTTAAACTTCCTAAAGGCTACTTCTTAACCAAGAATATACTCCCACAGCTTCCTGACTTATATCTGCTGCAGTCCTTATCATTCCATAATGCATTTTACCAATTATCTCACTGTGTCCTCTTACCCATTAGATATACCTACCCAACACATAGCACATAAAATAAGTAGTTGCTTAATAAATATCTGTTCAATGTATGCTGAATTCTCAAGTTAATATTTCAAATACTTATCACCCAACAACTCATTCTTTTATAAAAATAGCAGTTTTAATTATCTCAAGGACCATTTTCAAACTAATACAAGTCTACAGCTCTCTTTCCTGATATGCTCCTCTAATGTATGCCAGTATCATGGGCTGAGGGATGAAATTTTTCCCTAGGTGACGCTGATGTGTCACAGCCTCTAACCACTTCTTTATTAACCTGTTGATTGACCAAGCATGCCACACATATTAGGTCATATACAATGCAGTCTTTGAATCCATTTTCTCCTGCCAACTGTATAAGTACATTACTATGAATCCTAAACCAACTTAATGGGCTACAAACTACAGGAGGGAGCAAAGCAACCATTAGGCTTTACTACCACTACCATCATAAGATGGAGCTCACCAAATACTTCCTAACTTTGTGCAAAAGGGCAAGAAATTCTGAGATGGCTGACTCTTACAGTCAAGCATATTAAAAATATAACCAAGTAATCCCTGCTGCTTAGATCTCCAGTTACTACCAGTTCTTGATACAATGTTGACCAAATGAAAAGTCTGTAAAGTCTGTTTCCATTGCTTGTAGAGAGATTTTGTATAACTGCCTTCAAAGAGTTAACAGGTAAATGACTTAGATGGTGTTAAAGAGTTTGGGTGATCCTGAATAAGTACACAATGGATATACAAAGAAAAACTTTAGCATCAGCAATGAGTAAGTCTCAAGATGGAATCAGACACCAGCTCCTTTATCTCATCTTCTCTATAGACAGATTATAAATAACTTTTTAGTTTCTCAATCTTTAAACAGTTTGAATATAAGAATGTTAATACCTACTTTCAAAAAGATCAGAAGCTAAGGGCAAATAACTGTTTGGGCAAATTCTTCTCACCTGAGGATTATTGGCCTCTACTAATTTGCACTGCCGTAAAAACAACTTAAGGTTCCCCCAATTCATGTAAGGCAGTATCACCATGGGCTTTTCTCCTTCTTCTATACAGACGTGAGTAATAGGAAGAAGATTTCTATAAAATGTAAGAAATCAGAAGAAAGACAAGTGAAATTTGGAGCCTCAGGGGCTTATTTTTAAAAAGTAGTAAGAATAACCTAAAACAAAAGAAAATACAAAACATACTTAAAAACACGACAATGATTAATAATGTAAAATTACAAATGCTCTTTCAAACCAGACTTTAACACTTCCCAAATATGTAGTATCTTGGTAGGAAAAAGTCATAAACTCAAAGTTGTTTCCTGTGGACTGGTTTCCTGAAGATAAACTAGAGCCACACTAAATATTTACTGTAAAGGGTAATCTGAGACACCTAAGGAATGACTTTACCATGAGTGTATTCTGGTAATATCCCATTTAGTCCATTTATCACTCTTAAAAAAGATAAGGCTCCAATGCAGAATGTGGACAAGAATATGATCAAAAGGCCTCGAAGAAGCTGATACTGCCAAAAAAAGTCAAGAAGTCCTTAGCTGGCACATGGGATTAGTTGTGATTTCTAATTCCTAAATTTCCATTTACTGTCTGTGTGAGCATCTCTTTTGCTGTTAGTTTCCAAATCTCTAACATGGGATCCTACCAAGCATAAAAGGCTAGCTATGATGTACATAATAAAGGCAAGCCTGTAGTAAGCAATCTTGTTCTTTTTTAATTTCTATAGCATGCATGTATACATTTCACTCGGTTACATAATACTTCTCCATTGGCTTCCACAAATAATTTTCCCTATGTTATCTTACTTTTTATATAATTACATCATCTTGCCCACTAAACTGAAAATTCCTAGAAGGGAAACATTACTGTGGACTCTTATTTTACATCCAATGCTTTGTTTCCTATGTCACAAAGAATAAGCTTTTAATAAATACTTGACAAACATACAAATAATGTTCCCACTATCTAGCACATCTGCTTCAAAGAATGTTTAATAAAATAATATCAAACATAACAAAGCTATATGAACAGGATAGTTAATGCAATATTAACAGCAAAAAGTTACAAACAACTTGAATGTCCAAAGGAAAGCAAAGACTACACCCAAATAATAGAGTATGTAACAATTAAGTAATTACAAAGAGATATTAAGAAATACGAGTAAAAGCTTATTTTACATGAAAGCAAGATATAAAATTTATATATGTTTACAGGATAATCACAAATGTGGAGGAGAAAAAAATACTACACAGAAATACATCAAGAGTTAGAGTTGTTGTCTTTGAGCAATGGGACTTCAGATCATTTCTACTTACTGTATTTCCTAAATTTTCTCATGAGTATGTATTTCTTTTAAAGCCACAGTAACACAATTCTGGTCTGAGTAACCCTGCATAAGTGAAAGCTGTGGATGCCCCTATACTTGGAGTTCCTACGAGGGAAAGCACTGACCCTCGGAACTAAGAAATTGAGGGCTCAGAGATCACTAAGCCTACACAACATAACCTCTCATGAGGCTTCTGTTTGCATTACAACCTGAGTGGCAGTGATGATTAGTCCTACTTTATAGGTAAGAAAACCCATGCAGAAAGAAAGGGCTAGTAAATGACAAGAAGTATGGTAATTTGTCAAAGACAACAGCAAGAACATGGAGAAAAAATATCAACTCTTCATCTAAACCCTAGTGTTCTCCCCCTGATCACAAGATGTTCCCTGCCAAGGAGCAGGAGGAAGTTTGGGGAGAGGACAGCACCTTCTACTAACAAGTCCCATACACACTAAAATTATTGCAACGGGTTTGCACTCAGGATTAACTGAGCATACCATGGCTTAAGGGGTAATGGGAGAGTTGCCCAACCCCTTTAGCTTTCCCTCCAACTCCTCAATTACTTCTCTATTCTTTTTCCCATGGCTGGATTCACTGAGAAGGGTTAGAAGCATTTCGTACAGGAACATTGTGTGAGGTCAAATCTTTTATTCTATCATCAAAGGACTAAAAGTGCTCTGCAAGAGGTAACAAACTGCATGATAGTATTTCATACTACAAATGGATGTTCTTCTTTCTGTTCATTTTATAAAGGAAAGAATAAGAAGGTAGGTCTGTATTCTTTAAAGATTGAACCAGAGCAGAGACGGAATCAACACGGCGGCAGGGAAACGCTGCGAGTAAGACCTCCCATAAAAAAAAAGTGAATAGGGAGGAAAAGCGGCAGGTCTCTGCGAGAACTGGGACATGGGAGATAAACAGGTGACTCTGGCAAACTGTCTGAAGAAGAAAGTTGCCATAAAAGAGGACTAGAAGGGAGGAAAGCCAAGAACCCTGCTACCCCCCCCCCCACAAAGCCGGCACTCTCCGACCAACAGAAAGGAGGAAAACAACAACAACAACAGCAAAAAGAAAAACTAAAACAACCAGCAAGAACAAACCGCATCAAGCAGGACCGCGAGTGGAAAGGAACCATTTCAGGCACTGCACCCTGTGAACTAGAACTGTGAAGAACCATGCAGGAATCACTGCGGAGGTGAGAGAACTGGCTCCATTAGAGGAGAACAAAGACTCCCAGAGACCTACAAATAGCCCAAGGCCAGCAGGTAAGCTTGTGCAGAAAAGTTGCATGCTCGAAAATCATACGCAGCTCGCAGCTCAAGGCTGCCCAAATCCCCGTGCCTGCGACCTAGGCTTGTGGGGAGAAGTGCGGGAGCTCTCATTGAGGTGAAGGTCCCTCACTGAGTAATCAGAAACCAGGCACCCGGACTGCGAAGCGGGGTGCAAAAGGCGCCATTTCTGCGGACACTGAACTGGGCTACAGCCCACATCCTGGATCTGAGGGCTTTGAAACTGAGACCCAGGTCATGAAATTCAGGGCATGGGATCCCCATGATGGTAGGGCACAGGGCAGACACAGCACCCCCACGCCGTTGAGGCACTCCATGCCACTCACTCCCACTCTTCCCGCCCCCCCCCACGGGGGAGGGGTGGCATGGGGGGCGGGAAAACAGTTCTGGAAGGACACTAATAAAGATCTCTGGCTCCACCCAGCGATCAGGAAAAAAATTCACCAAGTCCTGATAGTTGGAAACCAGGGATCCCAAAAACACCCTCAGGCTCTGAGAGAGAGTTGGCCACGCAAACAGGGGTAAGGAGGTAAATAAGGTGTGGAGCAAGACCCCATCCTGGAACTGAGAGCCAGGCGCAGGATCCTCAGTGTGGGACGCGCCATAGCAGCGGGCACTGCACAGGGTGACAGCCAGCATTTTGGATCTGATAGTCCTGGAACTGAAACCTAGAGCGCAGAATTCAGGGCATGGAATCCATACAGGTGCGGGCACAGCACTCAGTGAACACGGGACAGACACAGCACCCAGCATGAATAAGAGCCCCTATGTTGAGGAACTCCCCTCCACACCCCCTCCATTACTCAGAGAACCACTGGGAAAAAGCACAGATCAGCAAGTACGGGTCTCTGGCACCATCTCGTGACCAGAACAAAATCACCAACTAGCTGATTCCCTCTTGGAACTGAGTAAATACAGAGGGAGGGAACTGTAAGGGACAGTGCCCAGCAACACAGCATCAACATCCTGGTGTTTTGGCCTACCAGTGCTGGTCTCAGTCTGGTAAAAGTTTCCGACACCCCTAAAGCAGCACTCCAAAGAGATGCCCACCAACACCAGTGGCACAACGTCCCAACGCATAGAACTAATTAGAAAGCAAACAACAGGGAGAAGAAAAAATATAAATAACCAAGCAAGCCCACAGGAGGACACACCACAAAAACAAATACAATCACCAGAGCTCAACAATGACATGGAAGAACTTCTCGGCCTATCAGATAGAGAACTGATAATCATCATGATTAAAAAGAAGAAGAAAACGAAAAGGAAAAAAATGATTTGAGACAAATAATCACTGAACTGAAGAATGAAATTGAGACCTTAAGAAATGAAAGAAAAGAAATGCAGGAGATTAAAAGATTACTAGAGGAGATAAAGAACTCTGGGAAAAGCAATGAAAACAGAATCAATGAAATGGAAGAACGGATCAGTACTATTGAAGATACAGAAATAAAAAGAGCCAAAAGAGAAAAGGAGAGAGAAGTGCAAATGAAGCAGTAGGAGAATACTCTTAGACAATTATCAGACTCCATGAAGAGAGGAAATATAAGAGTTATAGGCATTCAGAAGGTGAGGAGAGAGACAAAGGAACTGAGAAATTATTTAAAGAGATAATTGAAGAAAACTTCCCAAGTATGAAAAAGGAGAGGAATATAGATATACAAGAAGCGAGAAGAACTCCCAATTACCACATTGAAAAGAAAACTACAGCAAGACACCTAATAGTAAAGCTTGCAAGAGTCCAAGACAAGGAAAAAATAATGAAACTGGCAAGGGGGAAGAAACAGATAACTTATAAGGGAAAACCAATCAGATTCACTTTAGACTTCTCCGAAGAAACATTACGGGCAAGAAGAGACTGGAGTAACATATTCAGCAAACTTTAAGACGGCAAATGCCAACCAAGATTACTTTACCCTGCAAAACTCTCCTTCCTCTACGAAGAAAAAATATGGACCTTCTCAGACAAACAGAAACTCCAGAAATTCATTACAATTAAACCCCCACTCCAAAAAATTCTGTAAGAAGCCCTAAAGCCAAAACCAACAGAGGAATGAACAAGAACAGAATAAAGCAAGGAATAAAATCACAAAAAAAGACAAACAAAATGGCAAACACAGATGCCAATATATCAATATTAACTCTAAATGTAAATGGATTAAACTCATCAATGAAAACACAGAGTAGCAGGCTGGATTAAAAAACAAAATCCAATCTTCTGCTGTCTCCAGGAAACACATTTAACCACAAAAGATAAACATAGACTGAAAGTAAAAGGTTGGAAAACAATCCTACAAGCAAATGGACCAAAAAAGAAAGCAGGAACAGCCATACTTATATCAGATGAAATAGACTTGAAATTAAAAAAGGTAAAAAGAGACATAAATGGACAATACATTATGATCAAGGAGACAATACATCAGGAAGATATAACACTCATTAACATATACTCACCAAATGAAG